TAACTTTTGAATATTTTGAAGTGGCAGAGAAGAAAAAGTAAAATTAAGGATAAATGGAAGAAAAATATCAAGTCAAGAAAAAATATGAAATGCTCTCTCAAGTGGTCTCATTTATTGATAGTCATCAAGGCAACGCTTTTCATCACCAAGAAGCTACTGTGCCAGTAGATCAAGAGTCACTATTGCTTCGCTGTGGTCAACAAATGCATCCAATTAAGCAGTACCAGAAAAGTAAGGACTCGGCTATAAATGTGGCCGGACAGTTTGAAACCGAATAACCTCACTAATAGAGGCTATTGTTTAGCGTGGAAGTTTCCATTTTCCAATCAGGAAAATACAGCCCTCTCTGGGCTCTGGCCGACTGATCTCTTCCCACCTACGGCTCAACAATCTGCCACCAGCGAGGGGCTTTTATTACCTCCCTTTCCAGGAAATGTTAGGTAACTTCTTAGTAAAACCACACGAAAGAGAAATGGACTGCTGAGGGGCACCCCTCAGGAATTTACAGGTCCACGCCTGGCCAGGTGTTTTGGTTTGTTTTGGTTTTGGTTTGTTTTTTGTTTTTGTTTTAGTTTTCCAGCGGGAAAGAAACTTTGACCAGAGAGCTCTCGACGAGGAAACACCCCCAACCTGGCTCAGCTGTCTGCTCCCGGCAGCCGCCGGCGGCGCTCAGCTCCCCAGCGATCCCTCTTCACGCTTTATTTAGTAGCCAACACGTCCGCGTGCTAGGACCCCGCACACTGGCCAAGGGGTTGGGGGTCGTCTTCCCATTCTGGGAGAGGCGCAGGCCAGGGACGCAGTGCCAGTACCGCGTTTGCTCTGTCTCCCGCGGGCACCCGCCGGTCAGCTTCCATAGCTGCCTGTCCCTGCCAACGCTTTGGAAACGGAGATGCTAAGAGCCGGGTTTAAACGTACCCAGCAGAGGTACGCGCTAGAGTTCGTGTGCATTTTTTTTTTCCATTAGGCTTTTTTTTCTTTCCTTTTATTTTCTCTCTCTCTCTATTTTATTATTATTATTTTTATTATTTGTCACTCTTTCTATAGTGGTCCACACTTAACAAGTTCAAAAACCATATTCGGTGTAGATGAGCTGCCGGACACTTGAAAGCCTGGATAACTTTGATGTTTTCCACTATAAATCCCTAATTGTACTTAATGGTTACAAATTACTTTATTTACTTGTCGCTGTAGCTACACATTTTAATCTATTAATCAAACAGCAGAGGCATATTTCACTTCCTACTCCCGCAAAAGGAAAAGCAGGAATTAAGGCCTCTAATTTGCTTTTAGGACCTTCTATTTCTTTGGTTGTGAAAGCTAAGAGCTCCAGATCTGAGCATTGATTAGTCTTCAAACCTGCCTGCAAAAAAGCTTCCTTTTTCTGTTCCATCTAAGGAGATGTTGATATATATTGTAGCTGCAAGGTGTTAGATATACTTGAGCAAGTTGTTCCCAGGATGTAAATTAGGTCCCAAAAGCTGTTGTCCAAATCGAAGAAACAGAGAAATTAATCTGGGAGACTATCCATCATCACCGGTAATAAAGAGGGCGACATGGATGAGACAGATGATATGATTAAGGGGCTGTGGTCGTTTTAATTAACTTTTTGCTGTCCTGTAATGATCAAACTGGTCACCAGACCCGGTCAATAAGCATGTTAATATCAAACAAATAAAACCAGGGATGATTAAAAACCTCCTGGTTTATTAAATTTGAAATTCAAATGAAATTTATGCTGCAGATGCATACAGAATGCTAATAGATTTTAGCTTTATTGATAGTGGATCCCACAGGTTTGCAAGAAACAGCAGAATATCCATCTACCCCTCTTCCTGCCAGCACATTAAACTTCTTAAGGGGTGGGGAAACTTTTAATTAATGTTAGAAAGCCTGTACTTCCTATTTTTCTTCCCCCTCTTTTTCAAACATCTATATTATCACAATATAATACTCAAGAGTAATAATCAATATCATAAAAGTTAAACCAAAGTGTATGCATCCTGAAATGCTTTACCAGGCAGGCTATATCAACAATGGATTACAGATGTTCTCTCCTATGGGACAGGATTTAAGAATGATCGGGTCACTTCTCCAAAGTGGAGAAAGAGTTGTCATTAAGTCTAGTTTCAAGCATGTTTAGATACAAAATTATGACTGCTGAAATTTTTGGTCAATTATATAATTCTCTTTGTCTTTTCTTTTTAACATTGCTGCCTTCTGCCTCATGTCACAAACACTAACCATTTCTTTTGGGGAGGGAGTGAAAGAAGGGTAGTACAAGAAAAAAATGCCCTTTGACCAATGCTACTATGAAAGAAATCACTCACTTTTTAAATGAAAGTAAATAAAATATACACACATTTCTAATAAAAATATATATACATATATATAATGAAGAAAGTTGCACATACAAACCTTTGTGGAAATCCCCAAATGCTGCAAGCCAATCTTACACAAATTGAAGAATCCAGTATTTTCATTAAATCCAGACCAACATTATGACTTATGTTATAGGAAGAATAACATATGATTCTAAAGTGAATTTATACACATTAAAAATCTTAGAATTAGGTAGCTCAAAACTGCAGTCACATGACGCTGTATTTTTCTAATTCCTGGCATTTTTGAGGAAACAGTGTTAACGCCTCTGTTTACTCTCAGTATCAGCATTTAACTTTTTAATAGTCCTGCCTCACTTCCTTCTAGAAGATAGGAGGATAAAAAGATAAAATAAATAACTATTCATAGATGGAAGCCTCCCCTCAAAGCTGTTTTTCTTCACCTTTGAAGATGATGGTATTGATTAGAATTAAACCCCAAATCTGAACAACTGTATATTAGGCCCTTAAAATGAATATCATTACGGAAGGAGACCAAAGCAATGAAGTTAATTCTCTTTTATTTGTTAAACGGAGTACCCTCCTTCCCCCACCCCTTCCTCCTTCTGGGCTGGCCTGTCACGCCTTCTCAACACGCTAAAATCATTCAGAGCGGCTTGCAGGGAGAAACACGACATTTATGGTAAGCGTCAGCCTTCAGAGAAAGAAAGCAGTTCATTAATTTACTTCACACTTACATCAAAGTATGAGAGTATACCTTACCCCCTTAATCAATAGATATGATGTACAGTCAATATCCCCACAGCGTTTAAAAAAGGGTCAGAAATGTACACTCTCACACCACAAACATCAGTTCAACTCTGCTCAATGAAATTTACACGATACAACCTGACTTCGGAATTCTGTAAACCATAGGAGGATATTTTGACATCCCTAGAATCTGTGAAACCCTTGAGGGGGGTTCAAACACAACAATAAAATAAAAATGTTTCCCCAGTCAAAACAAAACAGTTCTCCCAGCTAGTCACATTTTAGTTGATTCCATCTTAAAATTAGACTTCTGAGAGCATTTGTAACTGGTTAAAAATATGAACTGTTTTTATAACTTATGAATATTCAATAGGGCTGTAAAGACTGGACTTTTTGCTACACTGGTGTTGTGCTTTCTGTGATTTAAGTTCCCTTGTGGTGGCAGTGAAATTGTGATGGCATTTCTGAAGGCAACTAATAACACAAATGGCAAGCAAATGACTAAACCCCACCGAATTTGAACTAAGTGTATCTATTAACATGCACACACACTCATAGATAGATCTCTGGACCAATCGCCATTAGACACTGACGCCTGGATAAATGTGGTCCAAGATTTGTCAAAAGCTCCTCTATTCTTAGATAAATATAACCCATATATTTCAATCAAAGTACTGATTCTTTTCTCAGAAAGAGGCAGTGGGATTTTCTGCGAAAATTTCTGAATTCCGTAAAACGCTCTTCAACTTCTCACCCAAAGAAAAAACAACCCTCGCTTACTCCCTTCTCTAATCCTTTTGTATTGAAATTTACTCAACACCACGGGACAAACGCACCTCCTCCCCTAGAGTGAGACGTGCACTTCTAAAGCAGAATTCCACCTCAGAAAAAAAAAAAAAAAAAAAAAAAAAAAAAGCCACGGCATCAAAGAAACAACTCACGGGCGCGCAGGCGCGCATCCACGTCCCAACGCATCCCTAAAAATACCCCTTAGACTCTCAACCTTTCTACTGTTTCGCTGGAGAGCCGGGAAAGAAAAGGTGGGTATCAAGATCTTCTTCAAAAATGTAGTGACGGTGTTTACCCAGATAAGAAGAAAAAAAAAAAATTACTCAATATTTTAGGTACAAGGAGTCAAAGGAAGTTGGCGACCGGGGCAGCGTTTGTGAATATTTATTCACTCAGCCTCCATCAACTTAGTCGGTTTCCCTCTTCAGCTCGACAGTCTCTCTCTTACAAACACACTTTATTGCATTGTTCCCATTCCCCACTACCAGCTTCGGTGCGCGCACACAACACAAGCGCCCACACACACCCTCCCTTTTCTCTGTCGCACAAACACACATATTCACAGCCCTCCTTCTTCCCCAACACCAAACACACTCACCCCCCACCCACTTTAGTCCCTCTTTCCTCCCTAGGTTTGTCAGACTCACAGTTACACTCCCGTACACTCACACCCTTCCCCTCAACACTTAATTGCTCTGTCTCTCTACCCCGCTTTGTCGCACACTCAGTTATCCTATCACACAACCCTCCCTTTTCTGCACTCTCTCCACTCCCCCATTTACCACACTGTCACAGTTACAGTGTCACACCCACATCCCCCCCCCTCCCGTCTCCGCACTGTCCTCTCCTCGGCCTGGTCACACTCGCACACAGTTACATTGTTACACACACACTCACACCCGCGCGCGCGCGCGCTTTGCGCTTTGTAACACACGCAGCCGCCCCCGCCCCCTCCGCTCCCACTCCCCCATCCACCACGGCGGCAGGCGGCCGCGCCGATGACCTCACGGCGCGCGCGCCGCGCGGCCCGGCGAGGCCGCAGATTGGCTGGCCGCGCCTCCGCGGCACTTCAAAGCCGGAGAGGGAGCTACAATTGTGGTGGAATGGGCGGAACTGATCATTGTATTGCACACCTCTAAAAAAAACACTGCCTCTGATTTATCAATATAAAAAAGATCCTCTGAGAGGAGGAGGGCACTTTTGTGTGATGGCAACTTCACTTCTAGGGGTGAGTCTCAGGATTTTCTCTTGCTGGTTTAATTAGTTTCCTTTTATTGCCGATTGGAGGGGGTTAAAGTCGCCCCGGCCAGGCCACGGGCTATCAGTCTCTCTATTGAGAGCTTTTTTTTTTTTTTTCCTTTAAATACAAGTGAGTTTGGAGAAAAGAAAAAGGGGGAGAAGGGGGCAGAGTCACTTTTTTTCAGCGCAGGAAAAGGTTCGAAGGGTATTTAGACAAGCCACCGCGCAGCGCCTGACTGCTCCCTGCCCGGGAGACCTGCGCCCAGCCCATTTTACAGGCACCGATTTCGGGGGTAAAGAGATCAAGTTTTTCCTACTGGGCAAAGTGCAGATCTTCCCCTAACCCTTAAAAAAAATTCTGCAGCCCGCCTTGTCTCGCAGGTACGTTGAACTCGTCTCGTTTTTACTATTGTAGATATGCTTTTAAAAAAAAGAAAGAAAGAAAGAGTGAGCGCTACAGTTTGACCTCTTTTGGCCTGGGAGAAACAACCCAGGATGGGTTTCTGGGGACCGGAACAGGTTTTTCAAAGCTCTCAGGATTACAGGGGAAGCGCTCCTGAAAGCAATCCAATGGTTTTCCCCCAGGCTTCTCGGCAAAGAAAACTTCCTTCCTTTCCAATCTGGACTTTTTGCTTGTTTGTTACGAAGTGTCTGGGGCCTTGTGTGCAAGAGAGTGTTGTTTTAGGTGAGAATACTTGTCAAACTCTTCTTTAGCGTGGTGCTTTGCTCCCGAATCAGACGCCGGCAGCCAAACTTGTCCCCTCCTGTAGAGTAGGAAGCGGCCGGGCACCGGGGCTGTTGGGGGTGCCAGGTGAGTTGGTGGCGGCGCGCCGCAGCGAGAGATGGGGTGCAGTGGGGCGCTTTGGAGGCTACCGGGAGACTGATGCACATTTCTTCCTTTCCTCCCCCACCGGTCCTTTGCCCACCTCCCCTCCCCCACTCCTTCTCTCCTCCTTCTCGCAGGAAGAACCGAGGTTGGGATCGACTCCTCTGGCCATGCTTGCTGCTACCTGTAATAAGATCGGTAGCCCCAGCCCATCTCCCTCCTCCCTCTCGGACAGCTCTTCTTCCTTCGGCAAAGGCTTCCACCCCTGGAAACGCTCCTCGTCCTCTTCTTCCTCCAGCTGCAACGTAGTGGGTTCCAGTCTCTCAAGCTTCGGCGTGTCCGGGGCCTCCAGGAACGGCGGTTCGTCCTCAGCGGCTGCGGCGGCCGCTGCAGCAGCTGCGGCT